GGATGAAAGCTAAGGGCGGCCAAACCAAAACATGGCAGAAATCCATGAAGTCATTGGCAACTGGATTGAGCCGTGTTGCTAGGTGTAGACTACCTGGTTGAGATCTGCGAGGTGATAGTAACCGATGGTTAGACGCCTTGAGTGACATGGCTCAAAATCGTTCGCAGTGGCGCCGGTGCATTCATTCTCTGTGTTCTCTCAAATCCTAATCTTCTGGATTCTTCAACCCCTCTAGTTTTGACTTTCTAAACTTTTCTCACTGAATCATACTTCTTGAATAATATGTTCTAATCCTAACCTCTCCGATTACTTTTAATCCCTTACTACCTCTTCTACTATTGGGTTTGAATTGACAGTTATGTCTGTGTGCTGATATGGTATGGCAACATGAACTGATGTACTTACGTACGAAGTTCTACGTTGCATCTGACTGACTGTTCATCATTCGTTTGGAATCAGGCTTCTGCAACTCCCTTAGCTAGATCCTCCATACACACCAAGAGTCGGACCCTTGCTTTTCGTATTCTCAGTTTCCTAAGCAACATCCACTCGGCAAGAAGGTAGTAAGTAGGATTTGCCTGGCAGTGGATACATATTCATGGCCAAAGGAAATCATCCGGATAGGGAGAGCGGCCTCTCCTCACTCTCGGTTTCATCAGGGCTCTTGAAGGCGAGTTAACAGCCGCCTGGTAATAAACAAAAGATATGAACCTAAAAATCATCTCTCAGGACGAGGTTTAAATTCAATCAGAATGAAATAAATTAGAAAACTTTATTTGTTAGGTATGTAATCCATCTACGCATTCCTGCTTATGTTTAGTATTAGTGATTCAACAAACGATAACCAAACGCAGGTTTTGTTGGGTGGTGCCTGATTTCATCGTCAGCTGATGATTTTCCGTATGAGGATCAGTTAGAATACTCTGACGTACAACCTACCTTGAAATGAAGACTTCCTAAACTCTTAATAAAATACTCACTTTGTCCTATTTGCAGAATGATATTATTATAAAGGATGAAGACGAACTGAGTGAGTATTTATTTATGTTGATTGTGACGTTCAGTATGCCTTCAATATCCAAAACTACACTAACCTTCAACCACTATAGCGTTAGGACTAGTTCAAGTAATCATGTAGGGCTGACACGCCGTGATTATTATGAAGTAGAATCTCGAAGAGGGGTTGGATAATAAGTTGGGTTATGATCGATCTTAATAAAATCCTAACCTGTGCTTACCATAACTTTACCAAATTGATTTATCTGAATTAGATCCGTATTATTACAGTGAGCAAGTGAGAAGTTACTTTGAATAAAATAGACTTATTATTGTCCACAGTTTATGTACGTAAAAGTTTCCATTTGAGACAAACAGACCTTTTCGAGATTCAACTTTTTTCTGATTAACAGTGTTTAACTTAATAATAGATACATATATGTATACTAGTACACAAGTATGTCATACACATGTATATATCTGATTTCCCTAGGTTTTGTGTAGCAAACATAAGCGTGCTGAATAAAGATAACATGTGGTATGTCAATAATTCATTTCACCTGCTATGGTTGGCAAATTATCTTCGTGATTAATTCAGAATTACGATAAACTAATGTGCTTTTGACGTGAAAAAAAAACTGACTGAGTACCAAATGGTAATAATTAGTAGGTTCTTTCTCTTGATGATGATGAAATTTTAACAGTTTAAATAAAGTTAAACCAAACTAAACTTTTTATAAATTCACTTTGTTCTTCAAAATAACTTTTATGATTTTCTTAGCTAGTTACTTTTTTCTTCTGTTTTAGATTAGACCTTTTGATTACAAAAATTTGAAAATGATGTCAACAGATCCTACGAAAGAGCATAGTAGTACTATGTATCAAATAAAAATCAGTGATAATTGGTTACTTGCCAAACATGATATAACTGTAAATTTATCAACCTTTTCTCAATGCATGTGTTTGGGAGATATTTTTGATTCGTCTACCAATGAACTTATCATTGCTGATTTTAGTCAGTACTTTAAAGATATTCATTTGAATTCAAAAAAGTTTGAATTCAAAATTAAAACATTTAAAGGGACTAAACTCATCAATGAAGTATTACATCATGAAGCTCCTTCTGGAATTATTGCATTTAAGTGTAAAGGGAATGATAAAACTTGTTTAGGTGAGTGGCATTAAGCTATGTTTTTGAGTTCTAAATACATATTTAGGACTGTTTCTATATCTCAAAAGGACAGGTCCCTAATTTCTAGTATTAGGAGTTAGGAAAAAAATATTCCACACTATTGTAAGCACATTACAGAAGGTTCCCTATGACTATATTATTCTAATGAAAATAAAAATACCAAATACAGTATTTTCTAGAATAATACAAATTTAATCTTGCCAGTTTTTGTCAGGACTAACGTGATAAATTCGAGAGGTGAATACAATTATTTAACTTTCCCTTACCTTAAAAGTCTAAACCGACTATGCTATACTAATACAAATCAATTGAAAGATGAAATGAATTTACACGATAACCTATTCAACAAATTAAGATAGCGTAAGCTGCATAAAGTAAGAAAATTTAAATGGAAACTAAAATGTTTGATCAGAGCACACATAACCCTTCAAAGTATATGAGTTAAGCGTGAATCTTAAAAGGTTTATGATTAAAAGCTGCACACCATGGACTCATTTAGGTTAGACAAACATTAAAAACGAAGAGGTATTGGACAACTTCTTTACCTTAATTTGGGATTCCAATGCAGTGTTTACTCATAACCCCACGAGTAATCTAACTCAAAACACTCAAATGTTTTGGCGAATCCAAACAGAGAGATACAACGCAGAAATTCCTACGTAAGTACATCAGTTCAGGTTGCCATACCACATCAGCACAGAGGCACAACTGTCAGTTCAAATTCAAGAGTGATAGCGATAGTAGAAGTATTAGCAGTAATGGAGAAGATTAGGGAGCGAAGATATGATTCGAGAAGTATTAATTCAGTGAGATAAATTTAGAAGGAGAAAGATAGAGATGATGAGGAATTCAGAAGGTTAGAATCCTCAACTTTCAGATCAATAACTTGACATACAACAGCCTACATTTCTAAATCCTATCAATTCGTAAATTATTATTCTTTACGCAAGATAAATTTACATTAGTTACTTAATTTTGGTCTTGTATCCTCAAAAGTTTATCTAACACTCATCTATATTTTACTGCATAACACTTCACACATTTCTTAATTGTGGATTGGATTACAATGTTACTTCTTTTATCCTATGTTGTTTACAATCTCACTGTGGACAGAGTATGAGTTATTTTTTCTGTTTCCCTTTTATATTCAGTTGGTCACATATTTCAATAAGTTCGAAAAAATAATCCTAATTCTAGACTCCCTAAGACATTTAACTTCAAGTCTTAATATTTATTTTGATTGAAATTATTTAATGAAATTCAACTGCTACATTTCACTTTCTACACTTTCTTTAATCATATTCAAGCAATTTATTAAACTGATATACTTTTATATTTTATTGTTTAAGATTTAGCTATTGCTGCTGGACCATACATTCACGTTTATCGTAAACTGTCGTTATACTATAAATATACTCTACCTTCACTTCAACCTAATATGAATGAACTTGAACTATGGGAACAAGCAAGAGAGGTGAATTTAAAAATTAAATTTTGTTTGTTTTTCATATTTATTTAAACTTAATGATTTCTAAGATTAAATACTAAGCAGGAACGTTCATAAACTTACAAACTACAGGAGTATCATCATCATCATCAACAGCGACGTAGAACTTTGTACAGCAGTCCAAGTTGCCATACCACGTTAGCACAGAGATATAGTTGTCGCTTCAAATCCCATAGTAGTAAAGGTAGTAGAAGTATTAGCAGTAATCGTAAAGATTAGGGTATATTCAGTGAGGTGAATTTAGAAAGAGAAAAATAGAGGTGATGAGGAATTCAGAAGGTTTGAATTTCAAAGAACACAAAGAGTAAATGCACCTGCGCCATTGCAAACGTTTTTGAGCCATGTCATTCATGGTCTCTAACCATCGATTACAATCATCTCGCAGACCCCAACCAGGTACTCGACACCTACCGACATGACTCAGTCCACTTGTCAGTGACTTCATGGATTTGTACCGTGTTCTGGTCCGGCCGCCCCTAACTTTCTTCCAACCTATTCCTACATCGCAAAACATAGCTAGACAATGCAGTCGGTGGTCAGTTGGATAATGTTACCAGTTCACGCGCTTAGGTGATTTATCACTACTATTTGCCTTATATTTGTGTCGAAGAATTTGCACAACTAGCAAATATGTTAGTTGAAATAGACTTTTTTTGGGGTTACTTACAAGTTCTCCACTTAACTCCTCGTTTATGTAATTTGTTGAAGCATTTGTTTTTTTTTTGACGATCAATTTTACTGTTGTTTGCAGGGTACTTTGACACCGGAGGAATTACGTGAAAAACTCGAAAAAATTAAGTATGTCTTGTTTGATTTTTTTGATAGTCGATGCTAGATAACTAAATGAAATTCAGTAACTATTTTTAATAACTCATTTATTAGGCATTGATTAATGTAGTCGGTTCTGACCTACATTGCTTGCCTGGAATCTTGCGATACTATCAGGTTGCCTAAACCAGAATAAGAAAGATAGGATTGAGACCTATTTTCTAGTGCTTGTTAGTCGAATGATGTAATCACAAAAATAACCACTGCATAACTATTTGTGGTATCACTCTTAAACATCAATGATTTCTCATTCTAACTTCATTAAGTAGACAAAACTGATCAAACTTTGACAGACTTTACAAATTCTTTTATCCCTTCGTGAATGGAATTTTTATCTATCATATTACCTCAGTGTTCAAAAGCTGTTCTACCCTGTCAGCTTTTCACGCCAGACGAATTTCAAAGGGCTGATCGGAAGTGAACTTGAAAAACATATGAGTACTGAATCTACACTTTTGAAAATCTTCTTTTGTGAGATTCAAATTAATTTTGATTGATTCTATTTTAGAGCAGTAAGCTTTTAGAACCTAAAGGTGACTCATTTACAGTTCGATTTTTCTCATTGATACTTAGGGCCGTCAATGGTTAGTCTCACTTGGTATTTGTACATCCTGCTTCAGACTGATAAATTACAGTCCTAACTATCAGTGGGGAGATTAAAACTTCCGATACAATTAAATTAAACTTCACCTCATCGCACGAGCTATTTGCTGTCTGGAATCAGTAGCTGAGTGGATAACGCGATGGAGTTTGATGCAAACTGTAATGGGTTCGAGCCGTGGAGTGAACATCAACCCTGGGAGGCAGGTACATCCCACTGACGGGTCCCAAATAGGACGAAACTCGTATCCTGGATTCCACTGGTAGCCACTACTCATCTCTACTAAAGGTAACTGTTTGAATATAAGCAACGTAATTTATATTAAAACAGAAGAAACGCTATCCCCATCTAATATATTATTTAGAAAAGTTACTCTGTGGGTTTGGAATCTCATAAGTATAATAATCGTCGATTAATATCATTATGAAATAATCTTATTTTCTCTTATTTCGAAGAATTATTGTGCTTGAATTTGTTTAACGAAGTAACCTTTTAGTGTTTTTGATTTTCTCATTTCACCTCTAGATCTGAATTTCATGAGCTCACTCCAAGATCTATACAGTATCAACAGTTACCTCCCGACCTTTTACATGATTTTTTCAACACCTATCGAGTAATTCCACTTGAAAAGCAAGTATGATAAAATATGTTTTGAACACTGGATATTGATGTCTTGTGTCGTTATATTCATTATTTCTGATAGAAATGGTTACGTTTTTTTTATAACTTATTAGTTTAGTATTTTTAAATCTCCCTCTCTCTCTGTGCAGACTGTAGCAACATGTTTATCTAAAATGAGTAAACAATATAGTGGACCTAATTCTTGGGATTGTTTAATTGTTGGCACAGAATCTTGTTTTGTCTACATTTATGATTGTGTATCACATCATAACTTATGTGAGGTAAGTAAATTTTATCTTTTATTCAAAATGATGATTTTAAAACCTGTGAATGGTTTTTAAGTGATCTCTTTAATTAGTCGACAGCATTTATAGAAATACAACATATGTAGAAAAGCACTGAATTGCCTGAAGTTAAATATGTTTCGATAGAGAAAAAGATTCATTGTCACGTATTTATTTTATTGTACGCCTTGTCCATCTAAACTGTAACCAATATAGTCTAGTTTGTTTTGTAGAAGGAATATGCTCCTCCAAACCAAATTAAACGTATGCTAACTCAATTATAGGTAAAGATGCCGCAGCTGGCTCATCCATTATTTACTGCCGAAGCTATTGGAATCCACATTCATAAACGTAATCTTTTCACTAAAAAGAAGTCGTAAATGATCGGATCAATTACGTCTTCTCACTGTTCTACCAAAAAAAATTTGCGTATAGGATTGGGAACTTGAAGAGAAGTTATTGAAAGGACTATTCATTGTTTGTATATTACTGTTTTGATATGATGGGAATTTCAAGTTAGAATATGTATTGACAAATACGCAATTTTACAAAATTGCACTATGAAGATTGAAATTACTAGATCAATGCAGGAGTGATAACAGTATCCTTTTGAATGCCTAAATTCAAATTAAGCCTTTTGACTGTGATGACTTCTAGCAAGGATGACTCTTGCAATCCCGACAACTATCATT